AATATGCCACAGAGAAACGTGGCAGGGTACAGCTAGTAATTGTATATATTCCAGGCCCATATCCCATAAGTACTATATTTTTCCTTCCCCTTCCTAAACGTCTGGTAAAGTTCTATGGCTCTGAACGATTCCAGCGAAAATAAATATAAATCAATTTAAAAAAAAGAATATTTAGGAATTTAAGACTTAATAAAGTACACACAAAAAAAAATCCGGGATATTGTTGCCAAATTTAAGCCGTAGTAGGCATGATTTCGGGCCAAGTTCGGATTTGCTTGTTTTCAGCATAAAGACACTTAAATTTTTTTAAATCCGAATATTCTTGATTCAATCCCGCTAATCTTAATAATGTTAATCCCAAAAATTCTTGATTTAACCCCGAACATACTCAGAATTTTTAATATCAAAAATTCTTGATGTAATTATGACTGTTTTTAAATATTTTAATACCAAGAATTCTTATTTTAGTCCCCAAAACTCTTCTACAATTTTCTTGTAGTTCTTCAAAAATTTTAGTCCAAATACGATTAAATTTAGATTTGTTGTGCTGAAATTTTCTTACATAATTATTGTTTAATTAGTTTTGCGATTAACATTATTTTTAAAATTTAAATTTTTATATAATATATAATGGTCAGCGGTCAGTGGCCCGTATTACAGCAGGCGAGATAATTGACTACCGGCGTGCTGCCAAGTTGTTTGCTTGCATGTTTACTATAGTACTAGTGTGTGAATTTTAAGATTTTAATTTCGGAAGACTATCTACGTTGGAGATTAGTGTGTACAAGTCATTATAATTTGCACATAAGACTCTAAAAGGTTCATGCCGTTCAAAGGAGGTTATACAGTGGCGCAACACTAGTGGTATATAAGATCTAGACCTTCTACATGGTACGTGGAAATTGAGCTGACTCAACAATTCAGCACTTTCTACATCACCATGAATAAGGTTATAAATAGTGGTTATTCCTAGCATCGTTTTACGATTGGCCAAGGATGGTAAGTTTATTAAGAGGAGTCTATTTGAATAAGAAGGCAATCTTTGGTATGCATCCCAAATAAAAATAAAAAGTTCTTTTAAACCGACTCGATGCATTTACTATGGACGCCGTACTGAGAGCTCAGAACGAAGCAACCATATTCTAAGATAGGACGAACAAAAGAAGTATATAAGGATTTAATAACATAGGGGTCATTGAATTCCATCGACCACCGTTAAATAAATCCAAGCACACCCCTAGCTCTATTCACCATAGACGAAATATGATAAATAAAGTCAAGTTTTGGGTCCAAGCGGACACCCAAATCATCAACAGAATTAATTCTTTCCAAAGAGCAGCAGTTAAGCGTGTAAGTAGCTTCGAACTTCTTAACAACGAATCTTTTCTAACGCTCGATGTCAGCACTCTTGGAATTAATGAGAGCCCGTTGCAGGTAGTTGGAGTTTGCCTACATGCTGCCCACCAATAGCGCTTTTTTCGCGCCTCGGAGACTCATTTAATAGCGTAAGGCTATTAAGTTGTGTGTCCAGCGCCAATAGCATTTCATGGGTTTTACGAAAACTCGAACTTGAAAGCTCGCACAGCCAGCAGCCGATTGTAAGGTCCCCTGCAGAAATAGCCTTTTTGCTGGTTTTGGCAAAACAGACAATATTATCGGACACTATTTAGACTTACCACCGTACTTGTTCTTAAGAAAAAAACAGAGTTCTAAGAAGTGTAACGGCACAGCAAGAGCATGAGATCATGGGAGATAAGATAAGATAAGAAGTGCATCGGCACAGCGAGAGCGAGAGAGCAATAGAGCGTGGGAGACAGATAACTCAATCGTTTAGCTGTCAAAATATGGAAAAGCTAGCACTATCACCACATCTAAATTGAGAAATAAGCCCAATAAAATACTCAAATCAGAAATAGCTGCATGCACACGTGAATTTAACGGGATGTTGTTGCAACAAAACAGAAGATTTAATTTAACCTCTGTGGTTACTTACGAGCGGAAAAAAACACACGTCCATTCACTTGGGAAGATGAAAGATGAAGTATAACGTATGGTATAGCGGAACACATTCAGTAAAAAATTAAAACTGGTATGTCAGTGCACATGTATAGATCGGACCAATTAAATTCATATATAAAATTATTCAGCCGTTCAAACTAACTAAAACTGAGGACTAAGGAATTTTGCATAGTTGACTTGAGACAGCGAAATGAATCCCCGGCTTTAACCAGGTTTCTGTGAAAACAGTAACCTGAGAGGCAAACGAAAGACTATCAGAATACAAGTTAGGAAGCTTACTACGTAAGCCTCTTGCATTCTGATAGGAAATACGTCGAGAGTGGATTATCTGCCGTGCCATTGTCGGCCGGTATTCCGAGCCTAACACCCTGGGACTTTGAGGGGTCAAAATTTGCGACCCCCCAGTTTTACATTCGCAGTTTTGCGTTTTCCTCTAAATATATATAAAATGAATATATCTCAAATTATACGAAAATCTTTTGAAAATTGGAATAGTAAAATTTATTTACTTCAAAATTTCCTATCGTTCCTATGGCAGCTATATGATTTAGTCTTCCGATCCAGCGCGTTCCGACACATATCCGTCCGTCTGTCCGTTTCTACGCAAACTAGTCCCTCAGCTTTGAAGCTATCTCAATAAAACTTTGCAGTTAGTCTTCTATATACTCTTACTCGTATATATGTCGGACCGGCCAGATCAGACGACTATATCATATAGCTGCCATAGGAATGATCGGATAATTTTTACAAAAAAGAATTATAACATTTTCTATATTTATTTACTATATCATATAGGTCCCATAGGAACGATCGAGAAATTAATACAAATAAAAATTATTACTTTTTCAGTTTTCAACAGATTCTCAACAAATTTGAGGTATAGCCAATTTCTATTAGTCTTAAATTTTATGTAAAATTTCATGAAAATCAGACGACTATATCATATTGGTGCCATACAAACGATCGTTGTAGAGGAAAAATGCAAATCTGTGAATGTAAAACTGTAAATATAATTTGTATAGGTGAATGAAATGAAAGCAGGTATTACTTCATTTTTTTTAACATAAATAAATACATTTTATATTGTATGGATTACTAGTCATAGAAGTTCTATCTGCAAGGGTATATAAACTTCGGCGTGCCGAAGTTAGCTCGTTTTTACATAAACTAATATAATTTATCCTAGTGATCAAACTGCAACGTGCAAGGGTATAAAAACTTCGGTGTGCCGAAGTTAGCTTTTTTTTCTTGTTTTTTTTTTTTTAGATTTTGTAGACTGACTAGATTGGAAGTAAAATTTTTTTAACAAACTACTAGTGTGGAGTAGCATATTTTAATGCATACAAATTAATATGTACACTTGTACATCTGTTGAAAACTGGAAAAGTTATAATTTTTTTTAGCAAATTTTCCTATCGTTCCTATGACAGCTATGACATCTGATAGCTCTTTCTTTAGTTTGTCCTGTCTTATATTGCGTTTGGAGCCCTCAGTACGACGTCCACTCCAAAAGTATTGAATCGGTTCAATAGAACTTTTTTACTTTTATTTATAAGCGGTTTGAGTTGGGTTGAAAACAAACGATCAGTTTTTTATTCTAATAGATTATGTTATATTTTTGTGCATACGACAGAAAATGGTTTGATTGGGTTGTATTTCCATAGAGATTCCCTTTAAATCTTCACTGCATTGCAAGAAGGACATACGACAGATAATGAACCAATAACAACGCAGCTGAGATCTTTGCATATTTTTATATTTTGTTCTTTTTAGCCCTGAGTTGTTTCTTGTTCCACCTTTGACTACTTTAACCCTAAAAAAATTGTAGCCTGGAAAGTAGCGGATTTACCTGTACAAGCCCAAACTTAACATTAGCTGTTATACCAACAACTTACAATTGATGCAAAAAAAATGCCACCTTTGAATGCTCATAACTTATAAAAAAAAAAATTATTGAACTATTTTGCGCTAAGTTTCGGGTTCCTTGGGAAATTCACCGTTGTTTGTTCTCTAGGTTCTATAGTGCATCGTCATTAGAAGTGTAATATTGTATTAGTGATATTGCAAAATCACTCCTACATTCAGGCATTTATACTAAACATTCACCTTGAATGTTTCGTCGTAATTTGCATCGTGAATGGGACTCAAGATAAAAGCTACTAGAATGAAACTTTGCAGTAAGTGTTCTATATACTCTCAATTGTATATAGGTCGGAACAGCCGGATCGGGATACTATTTCATATAATTGCTACAAAAACAATCGGAAAAAAATGACATATAGCAATTTTGTATTATTCTAGAATTTCGTTTTAAATTTTATGAAAATTGAACTACTATATAATAGAGCTGGAATAGGAATAATCGAGAATTTAATACAATTTAAAGTGTTTCAGTTTTCAACATATTTTTATCAAATTCGAGATCTAGCCGTTTTATATTATTATAGAATTTCAGTTTTAGTTTTTTGAAAATCAGGAGACTAGATGAGACTATGGGGAGACTGAAATAATACTGTTGTGAAAGAAAACTGTAAATATAATAGGTATAGGTGAGTGTAATAAAGGTAGCAATTACTTCGTTGTTGTTTGAAAGAAATATATATAATTAATATTATTTTAAGTATTAATGATCGAATTCAATCTGCAAGGCTATATAAACTGTTGTGTGACAAAGTTAGTATTCTTTCTTGTTTTTTTCTTGGTTTACATTGAAGATTTCATTTGGTCCCAAAATTTTTAGTTTTAATTTAAGTGTATTGCAAGCTATCTATCTTCTTGTTTTCGGATTGAATTTGTTTTATTGTTTAGAACTAGATTTCCAGTTACCATGATGATGGCTAATTGCCTACCATATGTTAGAAAGGCTTATCACTTCGCCTAGATTTACAACAAATTATTTTATAAATAACGAGATGAGTTTAAATTGACGACAATACCTTTAACTCCATAAATGGTTACCACAAAAATTGGTTAATACTTACTCGACGTCCTGCTTCATTATTATGCAAGTTCATTAAACTTCTTGCCTTGGCAGTGCTACGCAAATGGATTCCAGCCCCATCATTTTCTTTAACATTACTGTTTAGTGGTAATGATGGTTCATCTATTAAAGCACGTTGATTTTTTCGCTTTCCTTTACGACGCTGCATGATATTGTCTCCGTAAAAAAATTTTGAATTGATAATTTCTCGATTAATTTTTTCCTGCAATGAAGAAATATACTATTTAATGTGTGTTTTTAAATGGCATTTAGTTAGTTAACCAAAATTCTAGAATTTTTTAAAAAGGCTATATCTCAAATTTGCAAGTTTAGGGTCGAAAATTATTTCGTCACCGCATATAAAGCTCCAAACTATAATTATAACCACTGCCAGTGGAATTAAATGTTATTTTGGCCGAATGATGGTAGAGAAGATTAATAATATTACACCAAATCAAAATGAAAAAATTGCCGTAGTTATAAGAGCTAATGGCAATACGCCAAGTCCCCTTAAAAATATTGCCCACAGAATCATTTGATATTAAGAATATAGAATACAGGACTAGTTCTTCCGAGGTACTCATGTTGAGATTTTATTTTTGTTTCTTTATAAATGAACCGACGTGACGTTTTCAATATAATTCAATTTAACCCTTTTTTTTCAATAACTTCCCGTTCATTCGCGTGTGCATGCTGCTGTTTGTGCATTTAGTTAAGTTTATTATGGACGTTGATGCACTAAGGTCAGTACATTCAAGTGGCCCGTATGACACCAGACACCTGCCTCTTTGGGTTAGGTGATAGTAGGCGCGATGGAAAATATAGGACGAGGAAATACGAGGAAAGAGTAGGAAGGTAGTCTTTGGCTTGCATCCCAATTTAAGCCGCGTAGAGCGAAAAGTAAAAAGTTCTTTTGAACCGACTCAATGCGTTTACTATGGACGCCGTACTGAGGGCTCCAAACGCAGCATCCATATTCTAAGATAGGACGAACTAAAGAAGTATATAAGGATTTAGTGACATAAGGGTAATTGAATTCCTTCGACCACCGTTTAATAAATCCAAGCTCTATTCACCATAGACGAAATATCAATCAATAAAATCAAGTTTTGGGTCCAAGCGGACTCCCAAATCATCAACAGAATTAATTGTTTCCAAAGAGCAGCAGTTAAGCGTGTAAGTAGCGAGCTTAGGAAGGGCAGGAGAGAATGTTTCGAGCCGTTTAAGTTTAATAAGTTTACACGGCACCAAGATGGAAAATTATTGAGATCTGTTTGTTAATCCGACTGACAGGCGACGTCATTGTATTGCACGTAAAGCTTGACGTCATCCGGGTACATAAGCACTTGGGGCAGGTCATTTATAAATAATGTAAATAATAAGGGTCCCAAATGGCTTCCTTGCGGGACGCCAGATGTAACCCTTAGAACATTGGATAAATTATTTTTAAAGGGGACCTTTTGCGTCCTGCCATTCAAATATCTTGAGATCCAATTAAGAAGATCACTTGGAAAACCCATTGAATCGAGTTTTCTAACGAGGAGAGAATGGTTAACAGAGTCAAATGCTTTACTGAAATCAGTATAGATTACATCTGTCTGACAATTATTATGGAAGCCCTTTATAATATAGGAAGAGAGCTCCAAAAGATTTGTTGTTGTTGATCTTCGCTTCATAAAACCATGTTGACATGGAAAAATAACCGATCTACAAAGGTGCTGTAAGTGAGGGGGGATAATGTTTTCAAATAATTTAGGGATGGCCGACAACTTAGAGATTCCTCTATAATTGCTGGCATCCAATTTGCTACCTTTTTTGAGGAGAGGAATAATAAACGATTATTTCCAAATAATGAGAAAGTGGAAGGTTTCCAAGGACAAGGTAAACAATTTCAGAAGGGGATAGCACAGGGCGTCGGCACAATACCTGAGCACACAGACAGAAATTCCGTCGGGACCTGGCGAATAAACTGGTTTGACACGATGAAGATCTAAAAGAGAGCTTTCGCTTAGGATAGGACAGAAAATTAAGTTTGATGTGGGTATGTCGTAGGAATAGGTCTGGTGTAGATACGAAGAGCTTGAATAGGTTGTTTGAAAAAACTGCGAAAATAGATCGGCTATTGCCTGATCATTATTTGCGGTAGTATTTTCCAATGAAAGCGAGGAAGGATTTGTTTTAGGCTTACGTTTAGTGTTAACGAAATTATAAAACTGTTTTGGGTCCTGTGAGAACTGGGCCCTACAACGAGTTAAATAGTTTTTATAACACTGCGCGTTCAGCACGCTAAAGTTTGACCGAGCTGATAAATAAGATGAAAGGGCAGATTGAGAACCGGTGAATTTAAATTTAACATACAGGCTAGATTTTTTATTCTTAAGTCGGCTCAACTCTTTAGTAAACCATGGCGGTTCATTCGAGCTTGGCGGATAATATAACGGAACACATTCAGTAAAAAATGAATTCATGGAACTGTAAAAAATATCCACGGCAACTGCCATGTCAGTGCACATGTATAGATCGGACCAATTGAACTCGTTAATAAAATTATTCAGCCGTTCAAAGTCCGTCTTGCGAAAACAGAGAACTTTATTGGCTGGACGATCAGAAATATTCTGTACGTCACACCCAATATCAAGAGTTACATCGAAAGTTGGATGATAAGGATCTTCGGGCTGCGTCATAGGCGCCACCCTTGCTAAACTGACTCTCGCAGGATCAGAGACGAAGCAAAGATCGAGCAAGCGCTGTAAGGAATTTCGAACATGGTTGACTTGAGACAGCGAAATGTCAAACAAGCCAGCGATAAAGTCATGTTGAGTAGGTGTATGGAGAGTATTGGTGGAATTATTTGAGCAGCAAATAGTACCAGGGATATTAAAATCTCCTAGGACTACCAACTGGTCTTTATCCAAAAGTTTACTGGAAACCATCTGAATAGCGGAAAGGTGATTCCAATAAATAAGATGTTTCGACAATAGAGGTATGTAGGAACAGGTAATAAAAATGAAGCTACATTTGATAGATAGCTTCACACAGAGGAATTCAACATCGTTGCATTCCTCGAAAGTTAATAATTCTGACGTGAGTGAGGAGTCCACCGCTATAAGAACTCCACTCCCGTGTCTGATAGGGCGATCTAGCCGATATGTTCACAGCTGGAAAAACTTCGGAGCTCAGAATCTCCGGCTTTAACCAGGTTTCTATGAGCACAATAACCTGAGGTGCAAACGAAAGGCTATCAGAATACAAGTTAGGAAGCTTACTACGTAAGCCTCTTGCATTCTGATAGGAAATACCTAGGGAGAAGGTTAGTTTTTTTGAGTCGGGATTGGAAGACGTAGAAGGCGCAGTAGTATGATCAGGCCTGGGAAGATTTATTTCTACAGGCCGGTTTTTCTTTTTCTTTACTGTCGCGCCATTTAACAACTAAACCAAACAGGGACGTGTTTAGTGTCACAGGGGCCATTTGAGTGTAGTGACCCTTATGCATCTGTTTATGGGGAATACAACGAATTTGCCACCCTTGAGCAATAAGTAACCCACGAATGGGTCGATTAAATGCCGTATTTATTTTCTTGTTTTATTGTTCTTTCGTCGGAGCTGCAACTACCGATCGAACGCTTGGCTTCAATATATATGCGCTTACAATGTAGCTTAGCTTAACAGATAAGGCGATAGAAGAGAGAGAGAAATAATTTATTTGATTTTCATCAGTTGAGAGCGATTTGGACATACGAAGAACAGGGATAATTAAGGTTAATCTTACAAAGTTCCAACGAGTGGCATTGCGATTTATTGATTGCCAATGCAAAAGCGAATTGAACTGGGAATTTAATCCGCTTTAATTGAAATGGAAGATCATTTGGAATTATTGGAATTCGTGGGATTAGGTGAATTCGATGAGGTGAATTTGAAAAAATTTGCCGGGAACGATATGAATCCAGTCGAAGCGTGACACCACAAAGAGGACGACTTTAGGCAAGCATTAACTTCATCGGCATCTCGAGATAGCAATATCAAAATCCCACCAAATATTCTTGAATCACTTTTTAAATCCTTCATCGGTCGGTCTAATGCTTCCATTCATCCCAAATAAGAAGTTAACATTCTAGCATCAATTTTGCTGTCGCCGAATTTTTGGTCATTGTGCACGTTGGAATTTGAACCAAAAGAAGATTGAAAGGCAGCAGGTCTTCAATCGAAATCAACGCTTCGTTATACATTTCGTCGTTAATTTCAAGATCGATGTTAAAAGTCGTCGTGCGAATTCTGTCGTTAGTCATCTCGTCCTTGTATTTGTCCTACACCACAACTGGGTTGAACGGCAGTGGCAACGGCATCCCAGTGTGTATCGTTTTCGAACAAATACAATCGTTGGCAAGCCTCGCAACGCACAGCACACCATCCAAAGTACGCAGTGCATTGGGCCTCTAATGCTTACCAAAAGCAAACGTAGATAGAAGCATTCATCTTTGCGTGGATGAACTGTGTATATTCTTCCGAGGGCATAAGTCGAATATACGTCATCGAAGCCAGCAACAGCAGGAATTTGTCAGCGTTGTCGTTGGTGGCCATTCTGCTCTTTGCGCTACATTTGTTTATTATCCCGACGTTTAAAAATAATACCCCGCGATGTGGCATTTTCGCCAACAATTACCACTGCCACTTTATTGATTGTGGGAGCATTGAATTGTTCAGCAGACAAAAAGTGCTGTGTTAATGATTTTGTGGTCGTCGGAATGCATTGAACAATCAGACCAATTCATTATGCTCATACAGAAGATTATGCTATCGCTCGATAATTTGCCGTCTGTTTTCGTTAGGAATTTCACAACGCTGCAACTGCCGAATTACCAGAAAAGAAAGGCTGAAGGAATTTATGGTCTTTGTTAGTTGGTGGTAACAAAGAACCCGCTCGGTGGTGACTTTTCTCTTGAATCTAAATGTTCGGAAGCAATTTCGCAATTAGAAATTTTCAATTTTATCATAATTAATTTGCCATTACCTTAAAGCACGGACTATACTGTTGGTTAACAATTTCGGTTCCAAATAACGTCATTTGAAAGGATTAATTATATTTTAATTTAACGTAATTTAAATTTAAGGAGGTGCGTTTCAAGTCTAAATTTACAGGTTGTCTAGTAAAATTTCGTTTATTCTGAGGTACCGTTTCTGCAAGGCGATTCTGTGCATATTAATTCCATTTCAATACATTTGTAC